GCCTTTCCCTTCCTAATGACTTGGAAAGCTATCACCGCAAAGCCAGTGTATCCGTTCCACCGCTCTTGCTCAATACCAGTTCCATGGACTGGGAAGCAATGCCTAGAGGTTGTTGCCATTCCCACCTGGAACTAACCTGGGTTCTTTCCTATAGAAACACAGGCACCTCTGTTATAACAGCTTGGACCCCTTCTTGATCTAGGCCGCTATTGTCAGTGTCAACGCTGGCCAGCCATGGTTTTTCTGGCAGGAATTTTCCTTCCCTTCCCTGGAGATTCTGGGCACAGAATCCTGTTTCTTCAGCATGCTAAACATATGATCGGTCACAGAGTGACACCCCCTCCACTATGTGCTTTGCCCCTGAGTTACAGTATTTTTTCTTATTGCTGCTGCTGCAGTATAAATCTTGGAAAAGTTTGCTGCAGAGACTAGTGGGAGAATATAAGTTATTAATCAATCAATCCTTTAATTAATTAATTATTTAATTAATTAATTCAGAATACAAGTTATTAATTAATCAATCCTTTAGTTAATTAATTATTTAATTAATTAATTTGATTTATATACCGCCCATCTATAACAAGTCTACTCTGTGCGGTTTACATATAACATAAAAATTAAAATCCAGATTGATCACAGACTCCAAGATGGAAAGAAAGAAAAGAAGAAAAAGAAGAAAGAAGGGGGGGGGAGAAAAGGGGAGAGAATACATAAAGTACATAAAGATCAGGTGAACAAGCAAGCAAGCAAGGGTCTGTCTGAGAGCATGTGATCTTCAAGAGGCCGTATCCTGAGCTGGGTTTTTCACTGTTCAAAGACCTCCTTCTGCCTTTGCCTTCAGGGTCATCTAGTTCACTTTTTAAAAAATCTCCAAGGCAGAATTCACTAAAATAGACTTGGTTTTTGCAAACGCTAATGGGATGAAGGTAATGGCCACCACTGATCTGGGCCGTTAATTTAACTTCCCACCTCTCTCTGTTACACCCCAACCTTCCTGAATGAGCACGGCAAGAGTGTAATACCTCATTCATCCTCTTCCATGTGGGGCTTTGAGACAAATCCGTTTGGCTGCTGTTGGTGCTTGTAACTGATTTCTCCCTGTCAGAAACATGTGTGCCATATGGGCCTCTTCCAGTTTTAGGGGTGCATGTCAAGTGTTTGTGTATCATTTTTTGAAAAGGATAATGTGTGAAATGTCTGCTCACGCAATGGACGGGGTTGCACGTGACGCCACTCCAGAGCGTAATGCCCTGTTCTACTTAGCAGGGGCTGCCAGAACTGTCTAGGGATGCTTTTGGGATCCCGCCCATACACACACAATTGTAGAGCTCTCCCATACTTGCACAAATAGATTGTGGCCCGTGCGTTACTGTGGAAGTGCCACATCGTAGGACTTCTCCTTGTGGTTCAGTTGTCAGGTAGAAGCCCATGATTTCAGACAAAGTTGAATTTATGATGGCATGAATGGTCCTCTTGTAGCCAAGCTGCCTGGCTCCCAGCTCAGGAGCTAACTTTGTGATAACCAAGTAATTCCAAGGGATTAAGAGTTTGCAGTAATTACTCCTGTGGGGATTTAGAGGCTTGTATTTTTAGCTTTAGCTTTTGTGTCTGCCTTTTACATTAAGTAACACAATCCAGAGCAGGGGAGCAGGCCCTGTCACAGGGCCAGACATTTTGGCATGGGTCCTTCGAAACCCAGAGCGAGCTTCGGCTTCCAATCTCCTTTCTGGCCCAATGCCCCACAGCTGTCGTAGTGGCGGGGAGCCCTGTGGGGCAGTGACCGCTTCCTCTGATATGTGCTGTTTCCCCCTACCCCATCCACCCTTCCAGTGGGGACCACAGGCAGGGCAGGGCAGGGCAGGGAAGGTGCTCGAAGCATTTAAAGAACGGGCTGGGCCCGGTGCTAAGCATCCAAGGCAATCTATATCGCAAATAATGGCCTGTAATTGCCACTCTTAGCTGGTGTCGGATACTGCCATTGGAGCCGGGGCTTTAAATAAACCACAGGTGTCTTGCGGTTTCAGGAGTCCCCATTCCCCCCCCCCCGGCGCATGATCCCGTGTTGATTTGCTCCGGGTGTCCCAGGATCATCCGGTTTGTGTTTCTGTTGGGAGGTTGGCTGACAAACAGCATTTGCAGGTGGTTTCCGGGGGGGGGGGTTGCGGCCTGTTGGATGGGTTTAATCAGCACGGGGGGCACGGAGGGCGAGCAGAGAAGGGGCAGCCACCCTGATTGCTTATAGACATGCAAGGCAGCCTTCCAAATTAGCCTGGCGGGGAAAACTCAGAGCTGCACAGGCTGTCAAAAAGGTGGGCCCCCTTTCTAAACCCAAACAGGGTTTAGAAACATGGGCAGGCAAGAGGGAAAAGGGGCTCTTCTAGCCGAGTTGTTCCCTTCTTCCTGTTTCCCTGCCATAGAAATGGCCACTCCACTCTTTCCCACTAGGAAGAAAGCCTTGTCCACATTCAACATGAGGTTGAGAATGTGAACAGTTGCTGGGAAGCCACGGACGAGAACCACGGCATCAGGGGAGCTAGCAGAGTCTTCCCAGCAATACAGCCCTGAAAACAGCAGCCCTGTGTTTTGATGGCTCACCCCCCTCCTTTGCCATAACAAACAACACGGTGTACTTGGGATGCTGTCAGACCCACACATCTTGTCCTGCTCACCTTCCAACTGTCTGAATCTGTCGCACGGAGCAGGGCGGAGAACCGTGTAGTAGAACGATGACCAGGATGCTGAGTTGAGTGCCGGGCCCCTTATTGCGGGGGGCGCAAGGGCCACTCGGCACAGTTCCAGCAAGCTCTTGTTCTCACTGTTGCATGTAGGGACATGCTTTGGATTCCAACCCCTTTTCTCTTTCTTCTTGCAGCAACCGGACTGATAGGAAGCATGGTGCGCCCTGGATCGATGCTGCCCTCCGATCAGGAAGCAGGAAGTAGTCGGCAGTCCCAGCTCCAGAAGCAAGAGCAGCTTGTTTCCGAGACCGAGACTCAGGAGCTCAGACAAGTAGGTCCAGGACAGCTCAGGCCCAAGCTAGGGTGGGCAACTGGTGGAGCCTAATCTGTGAGGTGCTCCTTCACACAGAAATCTTGCCTCTTTCTGGTCCTGCTTCCCATGTAGCACCTTTACTCTTCCTTCTATGTAAAGCATTGCATTGACATCTCTGGGCTTGATTTAAGTATCCTGCCCAGATGGAAAGCAGATAGTTCTAACAGGAGCAGACTGTAGGTCGTAACAAACCCAGGTCTGTGCAAAGGCCATTGTTTCAAATGAAAGAACTGTGTCAGCTGCATCTAGACATTCGGCTTATTTGAGCTAAAGTGAATGCCAGCTCACAACTTCCATGTGTGTTCATGCTGCTGTTCCCGGCGTATTATCTGCCTGGCATTTCATGCATCTTGACCACAGCTCCTAACAGGCCAGCCCCCAACCTTTCACACATTCACTCCCTTCCTTCCAACCCACAACAGCATCTCCTGTCCCAAGAACACATGTGAATTGGATGGTGTTTGTTTGTTTTTTAACAGCCTCCCTCACCACAGTTGCAGCCTGGGTGTGAAGTTTACTACTTACTGTGTAACACAGATTATAATTTATTTCATATATTTTTACCCCGCATTTCTCCCTAAAAGGACCCAAGGTGGGGTGAAAACATAGGCCTTCCATTAGTTGCTTCAGTTGTCACTGCTATCTTTGGAGCTGTTAAGGAAATTATGCCTTTTACAACTCCATAATTGCAGAATTTATATTTATAAAGGGAAAATAATCCCCTCCTTCTACAAGAACAAGGTTCACAAGAGCCCAGTGGCCACATTTCAGCTCTTGATTCTTGATTTTACATCTAAGTAGCTATTAGCTGCTTGTCAAGTTGGCAGGCAGATGTTATGATTTTTTTTTTCTGGAGAATATAAACTTTATGCAAGTTACAGATACAGTGGTGCCTCACATAGCGAGGTCTGGAGAATATTAAATTTATGCAAGTTACAAATATTTTTTTCAAGGGAGACAGAATGTCTTTTTAGAAGATTTGTCGTCAGTGATCTTTCTGTTGACGAGACCTGATAACTGTAGTGAAATTGCAGGATATCAAGCATTAAAAACAGTGAGTTAATAAGCTAACATCCTGCTTGTTAGATCTGGAGCTTGGTTTGGGTGTTTGAGCCTGACTCTACCAGACACCACATTTTGATGGAAAACCCAGTTATTTTGGGATGGTCTCGGTAGCCTTCTGTTAGCTCATCCAACAGAATGACAAACCCAGTTGCTGGTTTTCTACCAATTACCCAGACCTGACATGATGTCAGTGACAGTAGGAGGAGACGGGATAATATTAGCTTAAGGGTTGTGGTTGAAGAAAAGGGGAGAGAGAGCTTGTTCAGTAGATTTGGTTTGACAAAACAGATCTAGTGTGTTCTTATTTCTGCTCATTTTTCTTCCAACCAACTTCTGCAGACCACCTTCCTTCTCCTGTAATGTGAGCCTTTCTGATTCCCTCTTGGCCGTATTAATACAGATTACACCACATTTTGATGGAAAACCCAGTTATTTTGGGATGGTCTCGGTAGCCTTCTGTTAGCTCATCCAACAGAATGACAAACCCAGTTGCTGGTTTTCTACCAATTACCCAGACCTGACATGATGTCAGCAGTGACAGTAGGAGGAGACGGGATAATATTAGCTTAAGGGTTGTGGTTGAAGAAAAGGGGAGAGAGAGCTTGTTCAGTAGATTTGGTTTGACAAAACAGATCTAGTGTGTTCTTATTTCTGCTCGTTTTTCTCCCAACCAACTTCTCCTGTAATGTGAGCCTTTCCGATTCCCTCTTGGCCGTATTAATACAGATTCCTTCTGCTCTGTGTTCTTCAACCACTAGTTGGAACACAACCTGTTAGTCGTCATCATCATAGAACTGCAGAGCTGGAAGGGAACCCGTGGATTGTTGAGTCCAACCTCTGGCTCTGCAGCCAGAGACCTCAACCCTTGAGCTAGCCAGCAGTTCTTAATGTAGTGTAGACGTGGTACCAGAGGCAGCTAGGTAACGAGAATGGTAGTGGTGGGTAATAGGGAACCACACTACCCAAGCTGAAGAACAAAGGTCTTAAAATCAAGGGTTGGGAGGCCATTTCATTTGATAAAACGTATGATTTCTCCATTTTATCTTCTCCAGTCTTCAGCAATAGATACAGATCATGCCCTGAAAGGACTTGCTTTTCCCAGAGGTGTGTGAAGGGATTTAGATTCTGGAGAGATGAAGCTACAGCCCTAAGCGGGCATGCTTACAAAGAAGGGAGCCCATAGAACACGGTGGAGCGTGCACCTGAATAAACATGCATTTAGGACCACACTGGGGAGACCTGGTTTGAACCTGCGTTGTGCTGTTTGGGAGCTAAATGGGGACACCTGGAAAATCAACTCAATTAGCCGCTTTGGATAACAGAGATCCTTTGGGCAATGGTAAATGATCAAATTTTGAACAGCCACCTGCCTGGTGCATGTTATCATGTCATTCAGGAAAAGGAGGATTTCAGTTTTGAATTCCTATCCCTCAATTCTCTGTCCAAATTAGAGCTTGGCAGACAAGACACTGGGCCTTTTAGCAAGCTGGCAGAGGCCAAGCATCAGTGACTAGACATCTTGTCATCGTTTTGCTCCACCAAAATAGCCATCCCTCTTTCTCCTCCTTCCTGCCAAAAGTTTGGCCCGACCTCACAGGCCCGGTTGGCTTTCCAAGTGACAGTTCAGCCCTTCGTTTCTCGCTGTTGCTGCCTGTGCCTCAGTGTCCCTTACGCTACAGATTGTAAGACCAAGGAGGCTGATGTTTTGATGAAGAAGACTCCGCTCTTCTACACACATCTGTAGAAGTAGGCCCTCTCCACTCAGAGCAAGGCCTGGCTCTGAATAAACATGCCTAGGATGGCACTGTGAGTAAGTCCAGAAGTTTTCTGTCCTGATCAGCATACGTGTTAGTCATGCCTGCAGTAAAAGCAGCGGTGTGATTTCCTGTGTGCACAAGTGTGTATGTGCCTACATGCACAAAAATATGTTTAGAAACTGGTTGTAGTTTGTGTAAGCCACAGATGTGAGGGTAGTGTTTCTCTCCCTCCCCCCAATAATCCAAAGCACAGAGCTTTCACCCCCAAGGTCTACATCTCCTTGATACCTTTCATGAAGTGGCTCCACATAATGCCAAGTAAAATATCTTAGTCTTAAGGTGCCAGAAGAGGTTTTTGCTGCCGCCTGCGAACATACTCGTTGCCTGGAAATATCCCTCCTGGTGGTAACTGATGAGGGGTTTAGAGGGTGCCAGCAAGTGGGACTAAAGCCATTGATTTGCCTACATACACCCTCATCCGGCCATACTAACCCTTGCATTCACATTCATAATGCACCCATCTGTTTATGCACCTGTCCACCCGTACTCCCAAGAAAGAGTTTTTTCATGTATCCAGAACATTTCTGGCAAGTTGATTATTTCAAAGAATGGAGAACGATTTTTGAGGGCTTAGTGGCAAGCCTGGTGTAGATCAGCGTTGGTGCCCTCCAACCATCTCTCCTCTCCTCTCCCTCCTCTCCTCCGTTCAGTTCTCTCCTTTTTTATTCTCCGTAAAGAATCTGGAGGGTTGACGACTGTGTGTGTGTGTGAGTGAGTGAGTGAGTGAGAGAGAGAGAGAGAATGCATGGAAGGCAGCGTTTGTGCTGAACAGCCGGTAAGAATTTACTTGGTGTGGTTCGGATAAGTTCTTGTCTTTTTCCCAACAGATCCTGCGGAGGCTCAAGAGCCTGGCCTTGGAAACAGAGACGGAACTGGAGAGGCAGGATGAAGTCTTAGATGTCATCACCTCTTCCGCGGATCGAGCCACCATGAACATTGACAAGCAGAACCGGAGAATGAAGAAACTGACCTAGTGTCCCGCAGGTCCCAGCCATGCCGGTGGAGGTGGCTGATGCGTCGTCAAGCCATCGGATCTCAGTTGACATTTGGGGTGTCGAGCTTTTAAGGAAGCTCGCGTTAGTGAGGAGAAAAGACAGAACATTAGAGGTGATTTGGAAAAGGTTTTGCTCAGTCCCGGGAGCACACAGTCGTAACTGTTAGAACGACGAGTGTTTGCTGTCGACCTGGGCAGCCGTTTGACTTCTTGCAGATCTGGGAAGGCCGTGTTGCCTTTTCTCAGCTGCCTTTTGAGGAAACGAAAGAAGGGAAGTGTCGAAAATGCAGTGGTGCACAAGAGAGAGCTCTGACACGCTCATGGAAACAAAGGCCAAACATGACTTGCACATTTCTCTTTTGATTGACCTGCCGTGTGATTGACCTGTCAATAGTTTTAGTAGCACTTTCCGTCTCTTCACTTCTTCAGCCATAAAGGGAATGTTTGCCATGTTTTTGCCTTAAGAGCATGCAATGAGGGAATTACGAGAAACCCGTGCGGTCCTCGCACCATAGGGGGAAGCCCTTCTGGTCTGGTGTTTGCTTCCCACTGGGATTGTTCGGATACGTCTGGAAGTTGTAGAGCCCAGGGGAAGAAATATTTCCTTGGACTTCAGCTCCAGCGTGGCCAAGGAGTAGGCGGGTTGAGGCATCCTAGGAGTTACTGCCAAAAAAACCTTGGGAAATGATTCTTGCTGACTTTTTAGCTGCCTCCTTTTACACTCCTCTGTCTCTGAACAGAGAGTCCCTGTTCAAGCTGCTCATGACTGATGGCCGTTGTGGCAAACCGTCATCAGCTGCCCATTGTCCTAGTCCCTTTTTCATGCCTTCCTAAGGTAAGGCCAGTCTCCTGCCAACTGGAACAACCTTTCCTGGCTACAACCTGAAAGTAAAACGTCTCTTGTGTTTCTGAATCCTTTTCTAAGGAGACGGATCAGTTAAGGGCGAGACTCTTGGAGAAGCTAGTTTTATAAAGGAATAACTATAGGTGATGCTTGAAATTCTTTGCTCTTCTGTTAAATTAGGGTTAGGTTGCACGTCTACTCAACTAGGTAGGCTTTATCTGATAGCTTTCTTGTACACCTTTCCCCCGCAACCTTGTTTAAGAGTTAGTTTTAGGTGTTATGTAATATAGCATATAGCAGTGGTTCTTAACCTTTGTTACTCAGATGATTTTGAACTGCAACTCCCAGAAACCCCAGTCAGGACAGCTGGTGGTGAAGGCTTCTGGGAGTTGCAGTCCAAAACTCCTGAGTAACCCAAGGTTAAGAACCAGTGGCATATAGGAAAAATCCAGGTTTTGGCTTTTTTTGTGGTCCCCGTGATCATGTTAAGCACAGCAGTTCAGTGCCGTTGTTCTGTATTTATCTGATGTGGCAGAAAGCCATGTTGAAACAGAGATCTTTCTTTGAGCCCTTAAAAGTTGCAAGTGTAGAATGGTTAGCTCTGAAAACACTGGATGTAATGAAACAAATGGGAACCTAGGAGAAAAAGTATATCTACTTTCCTTTTCTGTCTTTATTGTGCGAGTTCTTTGGTCACAAATTCCACCATCATATTTATTTATTTATTTGATTTAGATACCACCCATCTGGCAGGCAGGGACAATCTGGGTGGTTTACAGTAGATAAAACAGCATATAAGCTTGTTTCTCTTTGTATATGCTGTGCTCACCCTGTAATATTCGCAGGGACAATCTGGGCAGTTTACAGTAGATAAAACAACATATAAGCTTGTTTCTCTTTGTATATGCTGTGCTCACCCTGTAATATACTTCCAAACAATGATGGAGGCCCACTGCTTCCATCCCTATTTCTGCAGCCAAAGCTTTACTCATTGGTATCTCTTAAATCCTCACCTTCCTTTTCTGGCACATTTTGGAATCTGAGCATCTTCAATGCTCTCTACATCTCTAGCATTATTAATCGGTCGTGATTTTGTTTTTGATTCTTCTGTACTGCCTGTAGTATTTCTTCAGTTTGGCTCACTCTAGCATCTGAACCTCTTCACTTCTTTGGTTTCTGATATCTTAGTTTTCCTCTCTTTCATCTGATCCGCTTTTTGGCTGAGACATTCATTTACTTGTTGAAATCCTGTTGTTAATACATTTTGCACGGTAGCCTGCCATTCTTTGTCTGCTCCTTGAGCCACTAATTTTCCCAGGCTTTGTGACTGGGCAGGAGAGGTTCCAGGCGTTTGGGACTTTGATTTTTTGGAGGCCATTTCATCTTTTCAGTAACAATATCTCAATCTTCTTTTGCTACCTCTGAATAGAGGTTGGGTGAATTATACTATAGCCTTCACCAGTTTATCCAAACCTCAAAGATAACCCTTGCTCTTTCAGAGATTTCCCCTATTTAACCAACAAACAAAGCCCATAACCAACACAACTGAAGAAAAAAGGAAAAGGGAAGAATACTGGCATTTTGAATGCTTCGCCATGGATTTGAAATTTATTTATTTATTTTATTAATTATTTGATTTCTACCCCGCCCATCTAGGCAGAGTCTACTCAGGGTGGCTTACAAGCAGTTATAAAACATCATTAAAAATAGTCATAATAAAACATTCACATAATTAAATCAACAAATTTAGAAGTTCAAGATGGGGGAAAAGGAAAACTCAAGAGAAAAAAAAAATCAAGTGTTGACTGGAGGGAAGGCCTGCAATACAATACAATACAAAAATATGTTCCAGAATTGATAAACAAAGATCTTTCTCTCTCCCCCTCTCCCTCTCTCTCTCTCCCTCCCTCCCCCTCTCCCTCTCTCTCTCTCAAAAAATGAGTCAAGCCTATCCAGAAGAATTTATTTCCATCTCTATAGGAAAACACTTTCTTCTCTTCTTCCATCATCTTCTCAGCTGTCTGAAACTGCTCTGGAGGGTTTTCCCAGACCTCCAGAAAATATCCTGAGAGTGTGCGGGGGGCCCACAGGATAGCAGGGGCACGAATCCTTCTTGGTCCTGTCTTGCAAACATGCAAGCAGGCATTTCTGCTTTCAAGTCCATGAAACAGAACCGGAATCACTAACATGGAATACAGTGATCCATAGGGGATCACTAATAGCGATGCATGAGCCAGCCCTCACAGTGGCCTCTGATCATAGGGCTAAGTTATAAACCTGTCCATCCCCTAATATACCAGAATCTTTATCATTTGAGTCATGCATTTTATTCCCCAGGACATTGCTGGTTCGTGCTCATTTCTACCCAGGGCAATTTGTGGTTATGCATCGATTAGTTTGGTATGCCATTCAAGTACTTCATTGGTCCTTTGCTTTTGTCTTAATGAGCGAAAAGTCTGCAAGACTCTTTAGCTTTGAGTGTCTTAACCTTCGGTTCACAAGGGACATTTGCCTTATAATTATAGGCAAGGCTTCCTCAGGACCGAGACCCCTGGCACAGGCCCTTTTCTCCTGTGACCTCAGTATCCGTGTTGTTGATAGAAGTTAGGCAATTCGGAGGACCCGCCTGGAGTTCTGCTGGTCACCGATACTGATGTGGAAGTGTTCTGTGTATTTGATGGCATGGTTGCCAATGAGGTTGTACAAGCACCATCATCTGCCAGACGGCGCCTGGTGTCGCAGGCAGAGGATAGGCAAGAAATCTATCAGAGCGGTAAAGAATAGACCAGCTCACTCTTGCTTGTCTCATCTTGGGATGTTGACCTGCATTCGTATGTTGTTCTCGTCTGAAGCTCGGTCACCTTGGATGGAAATTGCTGAAATAGTGATGTGTAGAATTCCTCTGAGGTCCGCTGGGCCTGTTCCATGGCTTAGCAGTTGTGGTACATGGAAACGTTTGGAACGGTATGGGAGCAGTGCAGAAACGGATGGCATCTGCCAAACGCTCTCTGCTAGTCCAGTTAAAAATAGCTCTTTTTTAATGGGTGTGTTCAGGAGGTGGAAACCATTGTTTACAATGAGCTGTTCATAAACAATCAAGATGCAAACAGACAAAATTCCTAGCACCATCTCTCTCTTTTTTCTTGTCACAGCCTTCACTTTCCGTGATATTCTTGGTCATCGGGGAAAAAATACAGTGATCCGGGAGCCAGAGCTGGTCTCTGTGATGCCAATAATGCAGCGTACACTTGCCACTCTTCCCCCTGCTGAAATGGCTTAGTGTTTGTAGAAGGAGGGGAGAAATACAGCAGGACCCCCTGCCTGCGGGATCAGTATCCTCTGATTCATTTATCCACTGCCTGAAATTACTTAAAAAACCTCAGAAATACAGTGGTGCCTCGCATTGCGACGTTAATTCGTTCTAGCGAAATCACTGTTGAATGAAAACGTTGCAATGCAAAGTAAAAAAGCCCATAGAAACGCATTAAAACACGATTAATGCGTTCCTGTGGGCTTAAAACTCACCATTCAGCGAAGATCCTCCATAGTGCGGCCATTTCTGGTGCCTCTTAAGCGAGGAATCCATCCCAGAAAACAGTGGGCGGCCATGTTTTTTCCCGGCGGCCATTTTGAAATCGCCGATCAGCTGTGCGAAAATGGTCGCTTTGCGATGATCAGTTCTCGAAGCAGGGAACCGATAATTGCAAAGCGAAAATACCCCATAGGGAACATTGCAAAGCGATCGCAAAATGTTTGTCGCAAAGCGATTTTGTCGCTAAACAGAGCGATCCCTATGCGAGGCACCACTGTATGTGTTTATATGGGTTTCCAGGGTGTATTTACCAGAAATGGCCTCTAGAGGGAGTAAGAGAACATGCAATGCATAGTGTTCGATACTTCCACGTTTTTCCTTATATGCAGGGGGGGCTGTCTTGGAATCTAACCCCCCCCCCAAGATACTGGGGGTCATTCTGTACCAAATACCATATTGCAGGAAATTAAATGGAAACATCAACAAATTGATGCCTGTTTGAGGGATTTATTTTAAGGAAAGGAAGGCAGGACCGTTTCCTATTGAAAAGATTCACCAGCATTTTGCAGTGGTAGAAGTGAAGGTTGTATTTAGGCAGTCAGTTGGTGTTCATCGATACCAAGGCAGGCTTCCCCCCCCTCGACAAAGTCCAATAATGAAATGAAATACCAAACCATAGAAGTGACAGCTCATTTATCTCCAAGATTTTACAGAAACCTGATTTATACTAATATAGTACACTAAGTGCAGAAACTATGAGTATACAATGCCATTTGCACTTTTTTAAATGTCTGACTTTATTTATTTTTTTAAAAGGTTTTAATTTTATTTTATTTATTTATTTAGCAACCCTATGTATTTCTTTTTTAAATTAATGCGAGTGATCTGATTTCATCTAACATTTTTTAAAAAGATGGTTTTGTGGAGCGTCCCTGACTAGAATATTTGGAAAGTTCCAAAGTTTGAAGAACGAGATCAAGTTACTCCATTGTAACATGTTTCTTTTCTGTTAATAAAGCGATGATGAGATATTTCAGAACAAATGCTTTGTGTTTTCTTAAGAGAAATGCCCGTTGGTGTTGGAGAACTGAGTTAGCTGCTGTATGAAAGAAGGTAAAATAGTACTGGCCTGGTGCTCCCTTATCAGTGCATGCAGGGCTTTTCCTAACTGTCACCTCCATGAAGGTAGAACCTAATTCTGCCACAAAGAAAAAAAAAGGCACATTTGAGATGAATTTATTCACCTATGTCAAATTTATCGAGATTTTTTTTTCATTCATTTTTGGAATCTTTAAAAGATTGAAAGAACAAAAAAAAAAGCAAGTTGCTCATCCAAAGGGTGGCAAAAGTGGACTTTCAAGCGCAACATGAAGAGCTGTGAGTAAATTATTGGATCTGCATGAACAAAGTTTCAGCTCCCCACCTGTTCTCTGGTCCCCATGGTTTGCAAAATAGCAATACATTACGCAGAGTTTTGCAGCGTTTTTACACACGATAAGGTTCCATTTTTCTCTTCACAATCCACACGCACCCCCTTTTAAGTGCATCGAAATTCACACATCAGGGATGACACGCTTGGGAAGCTGTCATGGGGCAAAGAAACCAAGAATTTTGGTAGGATAGAAGGTGCCAATAGCACCCATGATAAGAGACAAGATTTAAACCTTCCTCCTTTACATGTTGAGGGTTAGGCCACAAGGGGAAAAGAAACATCCCAATTTCTGTGTCGTTGCCATGTCCCTGGAACGCAAACAAGAGTAC